ACTAATTTAGCATAATAACCAATTTTTTAAACAAATATGTACAGGGCTCCTGGTATTACTATTAGCTGATTAAACAACAAAAAAACAAGCTAATTTAGCAAAAAGCCTGATTGAAAAATTATTAATCTCTTCGTGAAACTTCGAAAACCCCGTACATATTTGTTTAATCAGTAAACATTAGGAACCAATTGAATTAAACATCATGAACGCCGTACATAATACCCCCTCAAAAAAATAAACTAATTTAGCATAAAGAAGCCTGATTGTACGGCGTTCCTGATGTTTAACAAAAGCTTATCAATAACCAATTCAATTTGTTCCTAATGTTTACTGATTAAACAAATACGTACGGGGTTTTTGAAGTTTCACGAAGAGATTAATAATACCTTTGCAGCATTTTTTCTCAAAAAAAAAAACAAGTTAATTTAGCTGATTAAACAACAAAAACAAGCTAAACAACAAAAAAAACAAAACAAGCCTAACTGAAGATTATGTACGGCTTTCCGATGTTTAACAAAAGCTTAGTAATCAAATGTGTACTGCCAGGCCAGACTGATCTCGGAAAGTTTATTGACAAATCGGATTTAGTTAATTTCTAACATAAAAATCCAATTATTCTTTTATTCGTTTTCGGAAATCTATCTTCTATGAAATGATCAACTCGGGGAAGTTAACTCTCTTTATTCGTCGTTCATATATTCACTCAACCATTTTAAAATTATTAACTTTACTTTCATGAAACTTATGACTTTATTACTCAAGGGAAGTTAAATTTTGTTTATTTTTTATTATTATTTGTTCATATATTCACTTATACATTTTTTTGCAAATAATTATAAACCGGCCTATTTTTAATTAATGGAGACTGTGTCTCGGTGAGGCCGTTCATTATGATTGTTATTTCAACTGGCCGGTGTAGTATTAATGAAGACTGTGTCTCGGTGAGGCCGTTCGTTATTACTACTAGTATTTATAAATTTGTCTTTTATGATGATATGATTTCCTTAAATGTCTGGAAATTCTGAGATACGACAATGACTTCATAATTTTATTGAATACCAAAAATGAGATTAACGCAAACATTTTGTTAATTAATATCCATATCTACTTCGAGAATGGAAGCATCATCTCCGTGAATGGAAGCATCATCTCCGTGAATGAAAGCATCTTCTCTCATTAACATCGGTATTGTAGGCATTCCTAATAAGAAGCGTAAGTAATTAAGAATATTATCAAATTGGTAAAGAATATTTTACCTCTTTCCCTTAGTTGCGCACTATATTGTTCTACTTGTTCCCGCAAATTTCTAATTTGAACATTTTGACTAGCAATCCGATTGTCGCCAAGCCTTCTCACTATTTCAAGATCCTGATTAAGGAGTTGGTTCTCCTGATCAAGACGTTGGTTTTCATCACGAAGTTCATTGATGGCTCCTGCTATCATTCTTCCTCCCACGACCTGACTAAGAAAATGGGTTTCATCGCGAAGTCTATTGATTTCTTGTTGGATTCTCGGTATTCTTTCTTGTTGGATTCTCTGCATTCTTTCTTGTCGGATCAGTCTTGAATTTTCTAATAACTAGCATTAGCTATTAATACAATCAAATTGATAAAAGAATATATTACCTCTTCCTAACGAACTGAAACTTTCTACATAATCTTCTAAACGTCTTATTCGTAAATTTTGCCCGGCAATCGTAATTCCGCTCCAGTTTCTCATAGTTTCGAGTGTAGTGATTTCTTGTTGGTATTGTTGGTTTTGATCGCTTAGTCTAGTGATTTGTTCTTTATATTCATTCTTTTCTATTGTTAGTTTATTTATTAATTCAATCGCGATTTTTTGTGTAATTTTATATTTGTCTATACTCTTCTTAAATTCATTTCTTTCTTCAATGCTTTTTTCAAGTTTTTTCAAATAATCATCTCTTTCTTTAATGATTATTTCTAGTTCTCCCAAATTTGTTTCTAAATTTTTGCCGTTTATTCCATTTTCTTTGAAGAACCTTTCAACTCGTTTTTTTTCCCTTTGTAAGTAATTGATGTGTTCGGTTAGAAACTTATCAAGATCCTCTTTCGGATTCAAGCCACTGGAACGAGTATAACGTTGGTGTTTCGCGCGAGTCATAATTTTCGCTTGCTGTAGTTTCTATATTTCATTCTCAAGAAGTTGATTTTTACTTATTTATACTTAAAATTAAATACGGTAAATAATACTATAAAAATATACTTAAAAGTTTAAAAATATATTTATTATAAAAAATTTGCTTGATTTCTATTGACTCACCCCATATATTTACAATAACTTGCATAAATTGAATGAATTCTTCCGTTCTATGACCGTCTGGTATCACATGTCTATTACATATTTTTTTTATTATCTTGTTATAAAAATGGATCGAGTTACGATTTATAGTTACAAGACAGGGACCCGGAGAATAATTATATTGATTATGCTATTCATGTTTTTACTGACATACTGACTTTAGGTAGAAATAAAAGCATACATCAACGCAGAACAGGAATGACGTACCGATAATTCGTGAATTTAAAGTTCTTTTTCATGATTGGTCAAATTTATCAATAAATGCTCTTTGCAATAACAAAACATTAATAACAATAGACATTTCAAGTAATAAACTTGGATCTGATATTGGAAATGTATTACAATTACTCTTTGTAAAAATACCTCTTTAAACATTTCAAAAATGATCTTGGCTGTCTCGGAGTAAAACCAATAGCAGATGCTCTTATCGAAAACAACAATTTGATTTCCTTGAATCTTTCATCAAATAAATTTGGTTCTTTGGGAGCGAAAGCGCTAGCTAGGGATTGGAACTGTTTAAAAATTGCTCTATAGTTCCAGGCAGAATTATGTTGGTCATGGGCCGGAATTATTTTAATGCCGGCCAAATTAAACGGTTAAACGATTAAACGATTAAGAAAAATTTTAGGCGGTTCCAATCCCTAGCGCTAGCAAATGCTCTTTGCTATAACAATATGTTGGCTACTTTAGATATTTACTCTAACCTAATATTAATACTAGTTCGGACCCTGACCTTAACTAATCATTTTAATTTTGTTTTAAATATTAACCTGCTAAATTTATCAAAATTCTAAATATAAAATTTTCTTTTAATAATTGATATTATTAATCAAATATTACGCGCAACAATAATTAAACAACTGCAATTATACAATTTTTATTATTTAAACTATTTTTAATTGTGTAAAGGTCAAAATTACGTAAAGCTAATTTAGATAGCAAAAAGAATGAGTTTGAATAATTTGATGGAATTCCCTTTATTACTTTAAAAGCTTTACGTAGAGCTAATTTAGATAGCAAAAGTTAAAAATAAATAATAATTAATTCGTTATCCGTCTAAGAACCAGTGAAATAACATAGTAAATCGTGGGAAAATTTACTATTGTTTTTTACCTTTTTTGGAATCTGGAGTTTCCCAAAGGACAAACCGATTTTCTACTAAGTAAACATCTTTTTTTAAATTAAATAAAAATTGTAGAGAAGAAAATTCCGGTCATAATGGCAGTTAAATCATTAAAATCGGCCCAGTGGATCACAAGATATGAGCATTTTTGTCTTTGCGACCATATGGTGTAAACAAAAAAGTAAACATATAATCGCGAAGACAAAAATGCTCATATCTCGCGACCTACTGGGCCGATTTTAATGATTTAACTGCAATTATGACCGGAATTTTCTCCTCTATAACTTTTACTTAATGTAAAAGAGATGTTTACTACACAGACTTTTTGAGGAATCTTGTTTAGCTTTTTCTTTAATTTCTTTTAACTTTTTTTGTTCTTCTTGTTGCTTTTTCTAAAATTAGTCTAAATAATTATATCAAAAAGAAAAACAGATCTTGACAAAAAGAATCCCATCAGCTTATTATTTTTAAAACCTATTTTAACTGTAGTTTCTGGAAATGAAAGAAAAGAAGTATGTAATAACTGTCGCGGCAGGAAAAAAGATGTGTTGGAGGCAAAATTGTGAGGATAAGGGATTTCAAAGTTATCTTTTAGATCAAAGAAAGATTTAAAACATATCATTACTGTCTGTGTGTTGAGTTTTTCAAGAAAAGATTGGAATCATTTTTATGTAACATATCTTCACAATAAATCAATGTATACGAATGACTTGGTAGAAAATAAAACGTGACTTGAGACCTTTTCATTTTGAGACCAAGAGAAAAAATAACATTTGGCTATCAGAAAAGATCGATTGCGACTGCAAGTTCACGTATCATAGGAAGACAAACGAATGGCATCTCTCTTGGGTACATGAGAGACAGAAAAAGACAAGAAAAATTTTTGAGAGATATGGATCCATCGATCCAGGTGTCAAGACTCCGTTTGTAATCTATTCTCCTACTGAAGGGATCATGAAAATAGGTAAGAACGACGCGCATAGGTTGGTAAGGTTAGGGCGTCACGCTGACAAACTGAGTTCAGTGAGAGACAAGTTGAACAGTTCCAAGAGAAATAAAAAGAAGGCCATGAGGATCGATAAGGCCATTGCTAGGATATTTCAAAAGATCAAAAACCTGAGAAACGAACTTTACCGAAAAACCATAAACCATCTCGTCAAGAATTACGACGTGATCATGATCCCAGAATTCGACATCAGGAACATGGTGAAGAGAGGCAAGAGAAAGATCAAGTCCAATATTGTGAGAAGCATGTTAACCTGGTCACATGGATTATTCAGACAGAGGCTGATACACAAAGTCGAAGAAACCAGTCTGAAAGTAATCATCCAAGACAAGGCGTACACTTCAAAGACGTGTTCGTGGTGTGGTAATATACAGAACATTGGTGGCAGGAGGACTTACAAGTGCAAGAATTGTGGTCTCGTTATTGACAGAGACATGAACGGAGCACGAGAGATATTCCTTCGTGCGTTGCTTGATGGAGCTATACACATGCGTATGTAGGAATTAATGATCTAACTAGCAATGTCTAGCAAAGATTATTAATGATGTATTACAATCCATCCGATGGATGTTCATATAAAAAATAATTGGTACCACGAATGGGAACTAACGGATTACTAATATCTAATATTTTTATATTATCGGGTTTAGGAATTTCTTTATCTGTTTGATTTAAGAAAAACATAAGAATATTATTCTGGAACTCGGCATAGTTTCAAGTTTGATTTTAAATTCTAAATCTTCATAGACTTGAATGTCTTCATCTTCGAGAATACATACACAATCTTTTTTTCTTTTTTTAAGATACATGGCGCCGGCAATAGATATTTCTTCTTTAAGACAAATTATCTTTTTACTATAGTTAAAAAAAAATTAATATACAAATTAGACTAAGAAATAACAAAATATCAAACTTACTTTTTATTTTTTGCAATTTTGTAAAAAGGAGTTTTTGAGGATTTAAATTTTATTTGCATTTTTATGATTGAATACGTAAATTATTTGTACGAATCTGGTAATAGAATCATTGTTTTTATAGTTAAATTACATTTATATTGGGTTTGATAATCACGGATATAATATTTCTCTTACAAATAATATTATATTTTTAATGCTAAATTCATTTAGTAGTTGATCAATTATATATGATTAATGAATTAGTTATAATAAATAAAGCTTTATATATTATTAAAATAATAACTCAAATTTAATGTGTTTAAACATCAATGTAAGGTTTACGATTTTGTTCAGGTTCAAGTAAATAAGAATTCAATAAATACTCAATATTGTTATTAGTAATAAATAAACGGATTTCTCTTAGAATGGTATTGTATGCTTCAAGGTTTAGATTTAATAATACGAGTTTATCGAATGTTTATAATAATCTGATGTATTATTCATTAGTTAGACGACTACAAAAATATCTTTTTTTTTTATATTAGTCTACCATATTATGAGAATGATAGATTAATAAAGTGCATCTATACACGTGATTTTGGAAAGTGTCAAGTCAAAAAAATATTACTACAGCAAATAAAGATTATTGGTTGGAAGTTAAAATGTAATAGGATCGATTTATTCGTTTATTATTTATATTGATTATAAATACAAAATTGATCGTCACTATTAAAGGTTAAATTTTCTAATGAAATATGTTTGCTTCCACCATCATAAGGATCTAAATCAGACTTTTTAACTTCTAACAACTCACAATTAGATTCATTCATTACTGAAATCACCTGCTCATCATCTTTCCATTTCTTAAAAATTTCACAGAGCCGTTCTGCTAATAGTCAATTTTTTGGTTCTTTATCCCAACATTGTTTCATTAAATCAATATAACATCGTGGATCTTCATTATTATTAACTAGTGGTCTATAACCATCAAGTATTTGTAAAATATTTACAGAATTTGACACCGGTCTTCTATATAAAATTTCCCACATAATCATACCAAAAAGAATAAATATTAGATGCTGTAGTGTATAATTGTTTGTTTAAAACTTCTGGTGCAATAAAAGGCAAGACCCCATAAATTTCACCATCATTTTGTTTCATATGTTGCACCGAAAGACCCAAATCCGCAATGTATGCGCTTCGAATATTGTCTTGTAAGATGTTGCCACTATGTAAATCTCGGTAAACAATTCCCTGTAAATGAATCGCTCTAAGATCGGTAGTTATGAGAAATAGCAGATTTAACTTATCTTTCCATTCTAATCGAGACACAGTTTGAAGATTCTGACATAAAGAACCTAATTCTGCATATTCTAAAATAAGAATATAAATTTCGTTTTCATTTCTCAATATACCATAACACTTCATAAACGAAGGATTTTCAACTCCGATCTCACAGTACGCTTTAACTTAAAAATAAAAGTATCAAATAAATTAAATAAAATAAAATAAAATAAAATAAATACCTCATTTAAATAATCATTTTTATGAAATTCTTTTAGTGCAATACTGAAAGTAAACTTGCTATCAGAATGGTCAATTCTTAAATCTCTTGACCACATCGCTTTATAAACATTCGCAAAACCACCTATTCCGATTTGTTTAATATTTTTTAAATTTGCTATAGGAAATCCAAACTAATTGATATTTATCATCATCTAATAATGTTTTAATATCACTGTCAATATCAAGATCTTTATATTCAGATTTGACAATTTCATGAAAATTTCTCCTATTTCTTTGAAACCAATAGTTAGCTTTCTCAATATCTATTTTAATTCCAATACCATTTCTATAACAATATCCTAACTGTTTCATGCTTTCAGTTTCACCCATGTCTGTGGCTTTCTGGTAATATTTAAATGCCTTACTTTCATCTTTCTCAACACCTACTCTGTTTAAATAACAAACACTAACACTATGTGTTCCATAAGTATTACTCATGTATGCAGCTTTCTGAAAGTATTCGAACGCCTTGTTTTCATCCTTCTCAACACCGGTTCCATCTCGATAACAAATATTAATATTATTTGTTGCACTAGCAAAACCCATGTCTGCAGCTTTCTGGTAATATTTGAATGCTTTATATTCATTCTTACCGACACTGATTCCATAATTATAACAACTACCAACATTAAATATTCCATAAGCATGACCCATGTCCGCGGCTTTCTGGAAATATTCGAATCTCTTACATTTGTCCTTCTTAACATTTCGATAACAAACACCAACATTACATGTTCCAAAAGTATCACCCATGTCTGCGGCTTTCTGATAGTATTTGAATACCTTTGTTTTGCCCTTCTCGACTCCGATTCCGTTTAGATAACAATAACCAACATTATCTGTTCCACCAGCATCACCCATGTCTGCGGCTTTCTGATAATACTCGAATGCCTTGCTTTCATCCTTCTCGACACCGATTTTGTTTTCATAAAAATAACCAACATTGTATGTTCCATTAGCATCACCCATATCAGCGGCTTTCTGGAAATATTCAAACGCTTTTTTTTTGTCCTTCTCGACACCAGTTCTGTTTCGATAATAAACACCAACATTATATGTTCCTTGTGCATGACCCATGTCTGCGGCTTTCTAGTAATATTCGAATGCCTTGCTTTCATCTTTCTCGACACCGATTCCTTTTTCATAACAAATACCAACATTACATGTTCCTTGTGCATGACCCATGTCTGCGGCTTTCTGGTAATATTCGAACGCCTTGCTTTCGTCCTTCACTACACCAATTCTGTTTTGATAACAATAACCAACATTATATGTTCCATCAGCAAAACTCATGTCAGCAGCCTTCTGGTAATATTCGAATGCCTTTTTTTCGTCCTTCTCTACACCAATTCCATTATAATAACAATAACCAACCTGACATGTTCCATCAGCATGACCCATGTCTGCAGCTTTCTGGTAATATTCGAATGCCTTACTTTTATCCTTCTCGACACTGGTTCCATATCGATAACACTACATGTTCCTTCAGCATGACCCATGTCTGCGGTTTTCTGGTAGTATTCGAATGCCTTACTTTCGTCCTTCTCGACACCGATTCCATTTTTATAACAATAACCAAGACCATTTATTCCATTGACATTACCCATGTCTGCGGCTTTCTTGTAGTATTCGAACGTCTTGTTTTTGTCCTTCTCAACAATGATTCTGTTTCTATAACAATAACCAATATTATTTGTTCCACCAGCATCACCCATGTCTGCAGCTTTCTGGGAATATTCGAATGCCTTACTTTCATCCTTCTCGACACCGGTTCCATATCGATAACAAACACCAATATTACATGTTCCGTAGCATCACCCATGTCTGCAGCTTTCTGGTAATATTCGAATGCCTTTTTTTTGTCCTTCTCAACACTGGTTCCTTTTTTATAACAAACACCAACATTAAATGTTCCGCTAGCATGACCCATATCTGCGGCTTTCCGGTAATATTCGAACGCCTTTTTTTCATCCTTCTCAACACCAGTTCCATTGTCATAACAAAGACCAACATTAAATGTTCCGCTAAAATGACCCATATCCGCGGCTTTCTGGAAATATTCGAACCCCTTTTTTTCGTCCTTCTCGACACCAATTTCAATTTCATACTGAAACCCAATTGTATTTACCATTTCATTTTCTTCAATTTTGGTAAGTATAGTAGTTTTATAATCTTTAATATAACATTTTCCAAGTTCGAAAACTCCTTTAATATCATATAAAGCTGTTCGTTGAAAATATGGAAAGGCTTTAGTTTCATCCTTGATAATACCGATACCATAATGATAACAATATCCAACCATATATGTTCCTTCATGTAGCCCCATGTTTGAAGCCTTTAAATAATATTTAAATACTTTTTCCCAATCCTTTACAGTTCCAATACCGTGGTGATAACAGTATCCAACTTGAAATATTCCTAAAGTTTGTTTTCCCTTTGCGGACTTCTGATAATAAAGAAAGGCCTCTTTCTCATTCTTTTCAACTCCGATACCATGCTGTAAGTGATATTCGAGATTATAGTCTTTAAACAAAACATTATAAGATTGATTCATTTTAGTTAAAAAATTTAGTTGTTTCAAGAAAAATACGGGGTTTCACTCAATGAATATTAATATAGTAAATTCAACAGAATTTAGCAGAGTTTGTCTGCCCATTCCATAGAACATTCAAAGGCACCTTTTTGCTAAAAATTATTACTCTAATCATTTAAAGATATAACTATAGCAACATGCATACATATTGCATAATTTACTTATTGATAGATTAGTAAAATGTCATGTGAAAGTCAAATGATTAAATAAAAAAAAGATCGCTCAGACTATTATACGTAAATAACAAGCCTTGTGTGTATTCTACTTCATACTAGTGATATTGATAAGGAAACAGATCATTACCAAAGTTCAAACATTTTTTTCCTATAGGAACGCGTGAGGCAAGAAAATGATCCACCACCTGGCAGTTGCACGAACCAGTGTCAGGAATTCCTCACATCTCACAGATCACGAGCTGTTGTCCCAGTATGGCGAGATTACTAAAAAACTTCTCTGGCAAAAGATTACACAAGTGTAATATTACATTCGATTTGCAGAAAAGTGCTCCGAGTGACGACTGCGAGGTCTTTCCGATAGGGAAAAGTCACATGTTTGTATTAATTAGTAAAACTTTAAAGTTAAATTATTTTTTGTATATTAGTCTAATATTAAAATTTTTTTTATAATTAAAATAAGCAAACTTAACCTTATAATTTTTATAAATTTTTTAAATAAATTTTTTATAAATAAAAATATTTTATATAATAACTAGTAAATACTAAAAAAAATTAGTTTAAACTAAAATAGTCAAATTAAAAAAAATTCTAAAAAATTAAAAACATAATTTAAAGCTATCAAACTTTTTTATAGCAAAGCCCAAGATCTAAAAAACTATATAAAATAGTTTAAAATATAATTAATTTTTAAAATTAATAGATAATTGTCTTTAAAGAGTGTCACTTTTGAGTACAAAAGACTACTGGTAGTATGCCTAAATCCTATCTATTAATACATGAAACCTTGGTTTAAACCGTTTTAAAACAAAATTTTTTGAATGGGCATCTCTGCCGTTTGTTTTTCCACAACCGTTTTGACTTGTTCAACCAATCAAGCTTTTCATTCATCCAAATCATGTGAATAACAAATCAAATTAAAAAAAGTACCTATATAAATAGGGCTGGGTCTAAAATAATTTTATTTTAATCAGTCCAATTCTTCGAGATATTAATTTTTTAAAAAAATTTTTTATGGCCCAGCTCTCTTTTAGCTGTGGTGGTCCCAAATAGCAACTGGACTCTTATCAACTTGTGACTCATGAATTAAACTCCGAAGAATTCTCGAATCATTCAATCGAATTCTTATTAGGCTTTGTAAATTACAAGTTACAAAAACAAATAGAACAATTTTCCTCATCAATATAGTTTCACAAGTGGAAGTCATACCCTCTTTTTCAAAAATAGTCTCAGACGAAACTTTGAGTAGATCTATTTATAGTATCCAGAATTCTGTGATGAATAAGTCTGTTCGCTCTGAAAATGATTTTTTTGTATTGTCTTCGAGTATGATAAATGTAATAAATATAATTATAAAAATTTTAATCAACTTTATTATTTGTAAACAACTTATTTTAATGTCCCTTAAAAATTTTATTTGAGACTAATCGCATAAAAGACTATACCAATAACTTAATAGTATAAAAAATAAAAAATCTAAATTATGAATTTAATTAATTTAGAAAAAAAATTGATCATTATCCGTTTTTATATTAAATTATATACAAACATTTTTAATAAGTTCAAATGCAATATTCTTATTTTTTTAATATTATTATATCCTGTGATATAATAAGATGCTTTTAAACATGTAGAAAGAAATTTAATTTCTCTGTCTTTACTATTTGTGGTAAGTTTAAAAAAAATATCGCACACTTCTTTATAATGGTTTTTACTGTATAATTCTAATGCAATTATAAGAATATGCCTTTCATTTTTTTTGATATATCCTTTGTTAAAGTAATCTGCCATATTAATTAATGCATCTAAATTTATCTTATCAACTTTGGCTAATTCTGAATAAATATTCCAAGCATCTTCATATTTATTTAAATCATTTAGATATTTTGCGACACCTATAGCTCATTCTCTATCTTGTTCTACACCATTTCCATACATATAACAAAGAGCAATATAATATGTGGCCACGCCATAGATTTCATCATTGTTTTTTCCTGCACAATCTGTGGTAGCAAGATTGCAAAAAGATTTAAAGGCTTGATCATATCTTTTTTCCTTATAATCTTTAATTGCACTTTCAAGTTTAAGATCATTTTAACTAGTCATCTTGAAGTTTGAAATTCAAAGACTTCAAACTGTAAATGATTAAATAATTAGCAAATTCAAATTTATTTGTTTATAATGTTAATTTAAATCTATATTAACAATTTTATGGAATAAATATTTTTACAATTTAAACAATAAATTTATGTAGCATGAATTTAAAGATTCTAGTCATCTCTACTTTTTTTACATAATCTGATTGTGGCAATTAGAAATTGTTAAATTAAAACAATTTTATTAAGTAATAAATAGAATAACAATTAAATACAATGCATTCTCTTATTATTTAACAAGGAAAAGACATTTATTATTGTTTTCCCAAAAATATGTTTAACATAATAGCTAGAATCTCATCAGATTGAGATGATTCTTATTTTTATTTTCAAATTTATACTCATTCAAGATTTAAATTCCATTAAAAACTCATTGGATTCAAAATACTGTATTATTGGAAGTATAATTTCCTAAATTTAAATATGTAAATTATATTTAATTTTGACCAAATTTAATTGTTTTATATGAGAAAATATGCAATTCACGCAAGTGGCTTCGATTTTTAGCTGCTACTTCTAAAGAATCTATAACTATATTTTTATTTTCGTTTGTGGGGTGTTTCATCAGATCCTAATCCATTTAAAAAATAAAATAAATATGCAAAAAGCTACTTAATCTGAAAATCTAATTCATAATATTTTTTTTTATAGTTTCAATTAAGAGTTAACAATTTTTTTTTTCTAATGAAAATATATTGCTATTAATAATAGTTGTAATTACTATTTCTTTAAAAAATTTTTAATTGAAATATATTAAATGCTGTTGATGGGACTAACAATATGATTCTTAATCGTTGCATTTATAGAATAACATTTTTTCAATAGATTACAGTGTATGACATTTGAATTTTTAATTTTTAAGCACCATCAGAT